TTTTTGGTACTGTTAAACAGGTAAGCACACTTTTCATTGTCTTCTAACCCTTCCCCATTACACAATGCAAAGAAATACTAAACTTTCAATATTACTGAATATTTCTTTGGTCAAAAGTCAAAAGTAAATATCAAAACAGGTCACAGAAGAAGTCATTCTCTTTACATATTCCCCATTTCTTTTTATTTTTTTTTGTCAAAGTCAAATGCTCAATATCTATTACAAATTTGAAAGAAACAGTTGAAGTATAATTACATATGAGATTTCTGTGGTCAAAAGTCCAAACTAAAATGCGAAGCATCATGCTATATTTCAAAAAGGCAATTGAACTTTCCACATTATCCATCCTTATTAAGACTTAATGATATTAGAAATTCGGTCTTTAAACAAAACAATCGCCCAAAATATGCATTCGGTTTCTTTGAAGCAGATGGAAGCAGCCCGCTGGGTTTCAGAGTATCAGGTGAACCGTTCTATTTCAGGTTGGTCAACGTTAATCCTGAAGTAATAAAGACAAAGTTGTTGACCAATGTGTTAACTTATTTTATTTATTTTCATTTAACCGAATGAGCTGAAAACGTATATAATTATTTAAAGAAAGTTAAAATGAAATAGTTAGAAGAGATTTCCGGTATTTGTTTTATATTCATACTCAATACATAGTCCTGATTGTTTGTAATTATGTAACGAATTTAATTGGTTGAATAATTTCAGGTATTTTGAGTTAATTTCTATTTTATGCTAACGTCCTAATTGAAAACAATGCATTTTAGTCCACCTGCACGATTTTTCTTTCTTCTTTGATGTAAAGCACATTATTGACGGATCATGATGAGGCATCGTTTCCCACGTGAAATAAGGGTAACTCCATCTGCACGATTCTTTCAGATGCTTTGATGTCCCGACTGCGCAGTAAGAAGGTTCAACTCAGTTTGAGATCAAGCATTAGAATTTCTTACTGTTGGTTTCATCTTCCACATATATTCCAACCATGGGTCACTGTCTGAGCAAACAAGAAAAGACCAAAGATTTAGAGAGAGAAGTGGAAAGTCTGCGAGAACAGATAGAGCAAAACAGCACGGAAATTGATAGACTTTATGCCGCTTTTGAGTGCCCAAGGCACTGTAATTTTGTAGAGACGTTGCAGAAATTAGAAAAGGTACAAAAGGTACATGAACTTTTAATACGTAATTTACCTGTTCCGCAGGGGAGCCCTTCATATGCAAGGACAAAAATCCGTCGAACAGTTTCATTGAAAGAGAGAGACAAGTCAATGCCTTCAGTTCAAGAGGAAAGTGAAGCTGGCTACCTGGAACTGAAATAGACAACAAGAAGGATGTACTTGAAGGGGAGGAGACTAAAAAAGCAAAGAAAAGAAAAATTAGAAATCAGAAGAAACAGCAAAATAGTATAAGGAAAAAAAACAACAGAAAATGAAAAAATATATGTTAAAAAAATAACAAAACAAAAAACAAAAAAAAAAACCCAAAAAACAAAAAAAAAAAAAAAAAAAAAAAACAAACAAACAAAAAAAAAAAAATGGGTTTTCTTGAGCAGGGTCACCGTCCCAAGCCAGGACAGGGATATATGCTAAGATTTGGCAGACATATCTAAGTATATTTATCTGACTGATGCTCAAAATGGCAATTTCAAATGTGTTTTTAAATTGTAATTGAACAAAAATATTAAGTTATTGATCTTTCATTTTAAAAAAATCGCTCTTGAATTTTATTCTATTCTCATCTAGAGTGTCATTTTTTTACCAAATGAGAATTGTTTTCTTTAATAATAATTCAGTTCATACAATAAAATAAACAGTTCTTTTTCAAAACCTACTGGACATTTCTGATAAGCAGTCACAAATAAATTCAACATTATTTATATCTTTGAATATTTTTTCCTTATTAATCAAATCAACAAAATACAAATACAAATGAAAAATGACATGCAAAATGGAAAGAAGATGTTCAAACAGCCACCTGTGTCGGAGATATCCAACAGAACACAAGAAAAACTCAAAGACCATATCATTTCGGGTTCCGCACGGCCGTCAAATCAGGAAAATACAGGCACAGCAGAAGAGCTCAACCAGTTATTTTTACCAGTACCGGAAAAGGAACTAAATTCCGAACAGAAGCCCGAAAAGGAGGACATGGACACAGAGGCAGAGATATCCGTCCCAGAACAAGAATATACACACCAAGAGATAGAAGATATGACGGACACAAACGAATCCGGAATCATCAAACGACAAGGCTTTTTGTCCCGTGGTATGTTGTTCAAAATTCTAACGTGTCTGCTAATTTTTAGTTATTAACATGTTTTTTTTTCATTTCCCCTCTTATTCATTTTAGCAGGTTCGTTATCTGAATTATTTCCTTCTTGTCTTTCCTAAATGATTAACCATGTAACTATTTCTTCAGGCAGATGAATCGGATATGAACACAGCAGCTGACGTATCCAAGCCAGAACATACCAACATCGAAGAGCACACAGATGCGAGTTGCGAACAGCCTAGTGAACAGACCGATGGATCAGATTTGGACAAAGAGACAGAAGCATCAAACCAAGAATCTGATCCTGAGAGTGACATGTCAGAAGAGGTAAGTAGAGCTTCGGATATGATGTCGGATGTAGACGCACAAGTGGCTACCTGAGCCACTTTAAAAAACACCACACTAGCATAAGGATGTTACCAATAAATGATGTTATTTTAGCATAAAAGTAGGGTTGGAATTCGGGTTAGGCTGTGCTAATTTAGTAACATTTTCATGCTAGAGTGGTTACTTTTTATGCTAATTGGGAACACCGTTAGGGTTAGGGTTGGAGCCGAACTAGCATACAAAATGTTACTAATGTAGCATAAATGGTGTAATTTTAACATAATGCGACTGTTGGGGTTAGGGTTAGGGTTAGGGTTAGGTTGTGCTAGTTTAATAACATTTTCATGCTAGATTGGTTACTTTTTATGCTAATTTGGAACACCGTTAGGGTTAGGGTTAGAACCAAACTCGCATAAGTATGTTACCGAAATAGCATAAATGGTGTCACTTTAGCATAATGCCATTGTTACGGTTAGGGTTAGGGTTAGGTTTAGGGTTAGGGTTTGGGATAAATTGTGCTTATTTCTATTAACTTCTATGCTAAAATGGTTACTTTTTAAGGTGTCTAACACCGCATACAAATTAAGTTTCATCGTAATCGGACCATATCTAAATTTCGACCAATCAGAGGCTCCCGTTGCCGGAAATTTTGTCAAAACGGACAATGGACACTTGCACTATGTTTCGGTTGTCAAACTACACATACACACCAATTTTCATCGAAATCAGACCATATCTAAATTTCAACCAATCAGAGGCTCCGGTCGACGCATTTTTCATCGAAACGAAAAATGGCTACAATCATGATCTTTTTAATGTCCAGTTGAACACACATGCCAATTTTCACTGAAATCAATTCATACCTAGGGTTCTTACAGATAGCATCAACTTCTAACACTCCAAAAAGTGGGTAAGGATTGAATTATTTCATAATTCCTTCCATAGAAATAATTAACAACGAATTTCCTTTAAAAATACTTTATTACTTCTTCTAAGCAAAGATAGCCTAAAATGGACTTCCGGTCTTCCTCTGCTTAACAGGGTTAGGGATGGACTACAACTGCTCCAGACAAGTTTGGGGTGTGTCTTCGGTTGAGTGGCTGCTATATAAGGAGGAGAGGTGCCTTGTTAACGCCATTCACGCAGCGACCGCCGAAGGGTGAAGACCTCGGAATAGGTAAGACTGTCGATTTTCTCGATTTGCAAATGCTTTTTATACTAAAGGATGTTTTGATTACTGCAGATTGATTGCATTACATTGAATTATTCTATTGAAATAAAAAAAGTATATCTTGCTCGTTGATTTTTTTGTTTTTGCAATCAGTATTTTGGGTGATTTTCGCGACGGTTTTTTTGGTACTGTTAAACAGGTAAGCACACTTTTCATTGTCTTCTCCCCCTTCCCCATTACACAATGCAAAGAAATACTAAACTTTCAATATTACTGAATATTTCTTAGGTCAAAAGTCAAAAATAAATATCAAAACAGGTCACAGAAGAAGTCATTCTCTTTACATATTCCCCATTTCTTTTTATTTTTTTTTTTGTCAAAGTCAAATGCTCAATATCTATTACAAATTTGAAAGAAACAGTTGAAGTATAATTACATATGAGATTTCTGTGGTCAAAAGTCCAAACTAAAATGCGAAGCATCATGCTATATTTCAAAAAGGCAATTGAACTTTCCACATTATCCATCCTTATTAAGACTTAATGATATTAGAAATTCGGTCTTTAAACAAAACAATCGCCCAAAATATGCATTCGGTTTCTTTGAAGCAGATGGAAGCAGCCCGCTGGGTTTCAGAGTATCAGGTGAACCGTTCTATTTCAGGTTGGTCAACGTTAATCCTGAAGTAATAAAGACAAAGTTGTTGACCAATGTGTTAACTTATTTTATTTATTTTCATTTAACCGAATGAGCTGAGATTGATTGCATTACATTGAATTATTCTATTGAAATAAAAAAATATATCTTGGTCGTTGATTTTTTGTTTTTGCAATCAGTATTTTGGGTGATTTTCGCGACGGTTCTTTTTGGTACTGTAATAAAGACAAAGTTGTTGACCAATGTGTTAACTTATTTTATTTATCTTCATTTAACCGAATGAGCTGAAAACGTAGTTTTCATCGGGGATACATTATGATTAGGTTCAGTGTCAATGTAATATGAACAAATCAAGTCAAAAAAAGAAGGGGGAGGGTGGGGGGTTGGTTGGTTAAGGGGCATTATTTTCTCACGTCAGAGTTGGGGTTAGGGCTAGACTTGGGGTAAATTAGTAAATCTAAAAACTTCATTCTAAGCAATTACCACGTTTTCAGCTTAATTCGGTTATCTCCATGTCAACTTTTTGCGAATGTTTTTCTCATTTTTGTTTCTAGGTAGCTATTTAAACCATGGAAAAAATCAACTCTGATGACCCTGGTGTGGAAGAACCACCAGATACAGATGAAGTTTGTCCAAAGGTACGTAGTTAGGGTTCGGGTTAATATTTCTAAAGTACCTGCTGATCTTTTTATTCATTATGAGGTATTCCGATTCTCTAATTCGTTCTTTTTGTGAATCCTTACTTTTTTAAATTAAAGAAAGAGTAATCACTGAAACGAATTGTTGTTTTTTTCCAGGTTGATGATCCAGACCCTGACAATGACGCGGATTTATCCTGCCCAGAATCCCAAGTGCAACAAAAGAACACAGACGAGGACAACATGGTAGACAGATATTTATTTTTATTTATTATCATGTATTCCGGTCCTCTAGGCAACTCCGATCGTTTTATAAATTTAATGCTGTTTAATATTTTGCTTACCGAAAGAGTCATCACTGAAACCAATTCCTGTTTTTTTTCAGGTTGATGAACCAGACCTTGACAATGACGCGGATTTATCCTGCCCAGAATCCCAACAGCAACAAAGGAACACAGACAAGGACAACATGGTACACATACATTTATTTTTATTTATTATCATATATTCCGGTCCTCTGGTAAACTAAGTTCAATGCTCTTTAATTGTTCGCTTACCGACAGAATAATCACTAAACCTTTAATTTTTTTAGGCTCGTGAAACAGATTTGGACACTGAGAACTTATTCAGCCCGGGATCTGAACACATCAATAACACTGTAGCTCCTGGTAGCAACATCTCAAAAGAGGTAAGTAGAGCTAAGATATGGGGTCAGAGCTATGATGTTAACGGATTAGCACAAAAGATGTCACATTAGCATAGTCACAGTTAGGGTTAGCCTTATGCTATAATGGTTACATTTTATGCTAGTTTTGCAACAGCTTATGATAAAGTGATAAACCGCGATTAGGGTTAGGGTTGGAACCAAAATAGCATAAATGTTACCAAATCAGCATACGGTTAGGGTTAGAAAATGGTGACATACAGCATAAGTCGTCACCCAATTAGCTTACAGGATATCAATTAGCATAAGCATGGTTAGGGTTAGGGTTAGGGTTAGGATATGCTAGTATGGTACCTTCCTTATGCTATAATTGATACCGGTTGTGCTTATTTGGTAACTCCCAATGCTAATTTTGACACCTGCGGTTAGGGCTAGGGTTGGAACTAAAATAGCTTAAGAGGGTTAGGGTTAGGGTTTAGTGTCACGCTCTTAAGAAAGTTGAAGGCGACATTCATATTTAATTTTTGCTTTTATTTCTTTCCTTTTCAGTCATCCCCTCAGAAACAGAATGTCAACTCATCTCCGAAGATTATGCCGGTTATGTCTGTAAAACCCATCCGGATCGGTAAGATGAGGTTCAAACAGAAGCCAAAAAAGGAGGACATGGAAACAGAGGCAGAGACGTCCGTCCCGGAACAAGAATATACACACCAAGAGGAGGAAGATCTGAATGACACAACGGCAGATATATCCTACCAGGAATCCGGACAGGTCGAGGGCGAAACGGATCCGGATTCCGAACAGAATCCAACAAAGAAGGGCATTGACAAAGGAGCAGAGATATCCGTCCAAGAACAAGAATATACACACCAAGTAAAAGCAAATATCAAGGGCACAACGACACATATATCTATCCCAGAAGCCGAAAAGGTCGAGGACGTAACGGATCCGGATTCCGAACAGATATCCGTCCCAGAACAAGTCAATAAAGAACCGGGAACGGAGCCAGATTCCGAACGAAACCCCATAAATGATGATATGGATACAACGGAAGAATTCAGCTTAGAAGACATCTATGCATTCCTCTTGCCGGAAGAAGGATCGGAACTAAATTTCGCACCCAGAGGAAATACAGAGGAGGGAAGTTGCCCCGAGGTACATAGTTAACATTTCTAATGTGTCCGTTTGTCTTATATTGTAATCTATTCTAGTTCTCCGGTATATTTCAGTAGTTTCGTATACACTCGTTTGTTCAGTTGTTTTCTTTTCAGGCTATAAATGAAGTAGTGGTCGAAACGTCGACAGATGCAGACACAGCGATGAATGTATCCTTACAAGAACAGGAAGGGGTCGAGGATGAAACGGATCCGGATTCCGAACAGGATCTAGAAAAGGAGGCCATGGACGCAGAGGCCGAGATATCCGTCCCGGAACAAGAAAATACACACCAAGAGAATGAAGATCAGAAGGACACAACGACAGATATATTCAGCACAAAAGCCGAACAGGTCGAGGACGAAACGGATCCGGATTCCGAACAGAACCCAACAAAGAAGGGCATTGACCTAAGATCAGATATACCCGTCTCAGAACAAGAGTATACAGAACCGGGAACGGAGCCAGATTCCGAACAGAACCCCATAGATGATGATATGGATACAACGGAAGAATTCAGCTTAGAAGACATCTATGCATTCCTCTTGCCGGAAGAAGGATCGGAACTTCATTCCGCACCCAGAGGAAATACAGAGGAGGGAATTTGCCCCGAGGTACATAATTAACATTTCTAATATGTCCGTTTGTCTTTTATTGTAATCTATTCTAGTTCTCCGGTATATTTCAGTAGTTTCGTATACACTCGTTTGTTCAGTCGTTTTCTTCCCAGGAAAAGTACTGTCATAATCAATTATTCTTTTCAGGCTATAAATGAAGTAGTGGTCGAAACGTCGACAGATGCAGACACAGCGATGAATGTATCCTTACAAGAACAGGAATGGGTCGAGGACGAAACGGATCCGGATTCCGAACAGATATCCGTCCCAGGACAAGAATATACATGCCAAGAGAAGGAAGATCAAAAGGACACAACGACAGATATATCCAGCCCAGAAGCCGGACAGGTCGAGGACGAAACGAATGCGGATTCCGAACAGAAGCCCGAAAAGGAGGACATGGACACAGAGGCAGAGATATCCGTCCCAGAACAAGAATATACACAGCAAGAGAAGGAAGATATGACGGACACAACGACAAATATATCCTGCCAAGAAGCAGAACAGTTCGAGGACGAAACGGATCCGGATTCCGAACAGATATCCGTCCCAGGACAAGAATATACAGAAGAGAAGGAAGATCATATATCCAGCCCAGAAGCCAGACAGGTACAAGCCCGAAAAGGAGGACATGGACACAGAGGCAGAGATATCCGTCCCAGCCAAGAGAAGGATATGATATATCCTGCCAAGAAGGACACAACGACAGATATATACCCAGCCACAGATATATCCAGCCCAGACAGGTCGAGGACGAAACGAATGCGGATTCCGAACAGAAGCCCGAAAAGGAGGACATGGACACAGAGGCAGAGATATCCGTCCCAGAACAAGAATATACACAACAAGAGAAGGAAGATATGACGGACACAACGACAAATATATCCTGCCAAGAAGCAGAACAGTTCGAGGACGAAACGGATCCGGATTCCGAACAGATATCCGTCCCAGGACAAGAATATACATGCCAAGAGAAGGAAGATCAGAAGGACACAACGACAGATATATCCAGCCCAGAAGCCGGACAGGTCGAGGACGAAACGAATGCGGATTCCGAACAGAAGCCCGAAAAGGAGGACATGGACACAGAGGCAGAGATATCCGTCCCAGAACAAGAATATACACACCAAGAGAACGAAGATATGACGGACACAACGACAGATATATCCTGCCTAGAATCCGAACAGTTCGAGGACGAAACGGATCCGGATTCCGAACAGATATCCGTCCCAGAACAAGAATATACATGCCAAGAGAAGGAAGATCAGAAGGACCTAACGACAGATATATCCAGCCCAGAAGCCGGACAGGTCGAGGACGAAACGAATCCGGATTCCGAGCAATCATCCAACGACAAGACATTTTGTCCCGTGGTATGTTGTTCAAAATTCTAACGTGTCTGCTAATCTTTATTTATTAACATTTTTTTCAATTTCCCCTCTTATTCATTTTAGCAGGTTCGTTATCTGAATTATTTCCTTCTTGTCTTTCCTAAATGATTATCCATGTAACTTTTTCTTCAGGCAGATGAATCGGATATGGACACAGCAGCTGACGTAACCAACTCAGAACATACCAACATCGAAGAGCACACAGATGCGAGTTGCGAACAGCCTAGTGAACAGACCGATGGATCAGATTTGGACAAAGAGACAGAAGCATCAAGCCAAGAATCTGATCCTGAGAGTGACATGTCAGAAGAGGTAAGTAGAGCTTAGGAGATGATGTCGGATGTAGACGCACAAGTGGCTACCTGAGCCACTTTAAAAAACACCACAATAGCATAAGGATGTTACCAATAAACGATGTTATTTTAGCATAAAAGCAGGGTTGGGGTTAGGGTTAGGTTCTGCTAATATAGTAACATGTTTATGCTAGAGTGGTTACTTTTAATGCTAATTGGCAACGCCGTTAGGGTTAGGGTTGGAGACGAACTAGCATAAAGATGTTACCAATATAGCATAAATGATGTCACTCTAGCATAATGTCAGGGTTGGGGTTAGGTTGTGCTAGTTTATAGTCACTTGTTATGCTAATTGGTAATACGGTGAGGGTTAGGGTTAGAACCAAACTAGCATAAGAATGTTACCGATATAACATAAATGATGTCATTTCAGCATATTGACAGGGTTAGGGTTAGGATTAGGGTTGGAACTAAAATAGCTCAAAGGGGTTAGGGTTAGATACATAATAGTTTAAGGTTGACTTGTTCGGCAAATATGAAATATTCGATTTTTAATCTTTCCTTTCCAGTCATCTCAAGAAAGCTACAAACTTCACGAATCAGACAAGCAAGAGTCCAGTGATGGATTGGTCCCGCCCTCACCTCAGAAAAGGACATTCAGGGTTCAAATCCATTCCCCCAAGAAGAAGTGCGTTTCGAATATTTCTGTGAAGCCTACGCGGGATAGAGAGAAGAAGATGTGCGACATATGTGGAAAGTTGCAATCAAATATTTGGAGGCATAAAAGATTGGTTCACAAAACAACAGTTGCAAAGAAAGACCCCGTCCTCAAGACAGCCCAAGGATACATTGTATACACTTGCCCAATTGGTAATTGCGGCAAGTCCACAACCAGGCTTCGGGACCATCTAATAAGGGTACACAATGTAACTGATAAGGAGCAAAGAGATCGGCTCAGGAAATTTGGAGAGCCTGTGCCTGTAACTGCAAACGAATCCAAGAAACCATTGTCAAGGACACGTAAAAGAAAGATATGGCCCCCACCAAACGTACCATCCTGCATGGAGATTGAAATTTGCCCAGACGCCGTCCCGGCGAAATCTACAGGAAAAGAAGAGAATATTACATTGCCTGGAAAAGCACAGAGTAGGATTTCCCAGCGCCTCTCTGAGCCAGAGGCTGATACGCCATCCGAGCCAGATACACCATCAACGCCAGAATATTCCGTATATGAAATAACCTCTTCTGACAGCGAAGACAGCGACTCGGATGAAATAGAAACGATAACCGTCGCAAAACCTTACGAGTGTCTAAAGCAGAGAGAAATCCGGCTGTTCTGCAGATATCTGCAGTCGGGAGAGTACCTTAAAGATGCCAAGACCTCCTTTCAGCACGCTCGCCAGGTACATGAAATTTGGAAAGACCTTCCGGGGTCAGGCTTTCTCCTTAAGGACTTGATGAACGTGGACTTCTTGATCGAGTCATGGATTCCAGCGGCCCTTGGAAAATTCAAAGTAGGAACGGTGAAAAGTTATCTCTGTAGCTACATCCTCTTCCTGGACTTCATGGCTGCTAGGGAGCTCTACGGAAGTAGTGATATCAGCATCGTCAAAACGAGGGTAAATAGGATGAGTAAAACCTTAAAGAAGAGAGCAGGAAAAAGAAACACAGAGATATCCACTAGAGATATTGTGAACATGCCGACGATTGAAGAGACTAGCAGGTTTCTAGCAGCGGTGTACACAAAGGAAACGGAAAGTTTCTTTGAAGAAAAACCTATCCTTCTAAGGGGGAGGGAACGATACAATAGAATGATTGGATACCTTTTTCTCCGCATAATTATGTGTAATGGTCAGCGGTCAGGGGCAGTCCTTGGCATTACGGAACAAGTGATGTGTGGAGCCAGGACAGAAATCAGCGGAACGGTGCTCCAAGTAACTGCTCACAAGACGAGCGCATATGGATCTGCAGCACTTGGCTTGCCCCATCCTCTTTTCGAATATCTCAAAGCGTACATCCGCTTACGAGACCAAATTCCTAATCTGTGTGTCGACCGAAGAGAGACTATTTTCTACACATTTCCATGTCCGGGCGGCAAACCTGTTGCAATCACCAATTCATTTCTTAACAAGGTCATTAACAAAACCTGGCAGACAGTCCACCCTGGAAAATATATATCAGCAACATTATTCAGGAAAATGGTGACCACCAATGTCCGGAAGCACGATCCTAACTTGCGATGTGCTTTAGCAGCACACATGGGACATGCAGCATCAACGAGTGACAGATATTACAACAGGACCGACATCGTTGACAACGCTGTACAAATGTCAAAGAAGATCTCAAACATCTTGACAAGACCGAAAGAAACTGCATCTGCGGCACTTGGCAAAGCCCCGAGAACACATGATATGTCCAGTCCGGACATACCACCCGACGCAAGAATAGAAACTGAACAACAGTCAGCTGTTCAAAGCTCTAAACCAAGTTCTACCTCAGACGTCTTGACAAGACCGAAAGAAACTGCATCTGTGGCACTTGGCAAAGCCCCGGAAACACACGATATGTCCAGTCCGGACATACCACCCGACGCAAGAATAGAAACTGAACAACAGTCAGCTGTTCAAAGCTCTAAACCAAGTCCTACCTCACACGTCTTGACAAGACCGAAAGAAACTGCATCTGCGGCACTTGGCAAAGCCCCGGAAACACACGATATGTCCAGTCCGGTCATACCAACAGACGCAAGAATAGAAAGTGAACAACAGTCAGCTGTTCAAAGCTCCGAACCAAGTTCTCCGGCCGATTTAAAACATGGGAGGCGCAGCTTTCTACAACAGGAATCGAAGATTATACTTCGGATATGTAAAAGGATGTTAACCAGTGCATCAATCACCGCCAAGAAAGTCGTGGAATGCCTTACGTCCACTGAAGAAGGAGCGGAACTATATAAAAAGCTGAAAGAGAAATTTGGTCCATGTACGGACAAAAAAATAGCTGACAGATTCAGGACAGAGAAACGGAAAAGGGCGAATCTGATTGGAAATGATTAGGCCTACATGTAGTAAGGCAAGAAGAGTATCGATCCATTTGACCCTAATCCCTTATCCTTCTCCGGAATGAATCTTAAAAATAAAATTGAGTTCAATATATTTTTTTAAGTCATCTTTATTTTTTCAACAATTGAATTTCGAAAATCCAGTGAAGCAGCTATCAAGTGGTATAAATGCAACGGCAAATAGGGTACACGTGTTTGTGAGAATCTTTTAGGGCTTCGTGAAGCATAATCAACAGCGAATTGAGTTTGAATTCCTCCGATGCAAAACTGACGACCTGAACCACTTTAAAAAACAACCTATGATGAAATGGTTACTTTTATGCTAAATAGGGTTAGGGTTAGGGTTAGGGTTAGGATTAGGGTTAGGGTTAGGGGTTAGGGTTAGGGTTATGGTCCATGCTAACCGCAGTACCTTTTTTATGCTAATGGTAACGCAGTTATGCTAGTTTGTAACGCTCTTGTGCTAATTTCGTGTAGTTATGCTAATTTGGTTACCACTTTGCGCTAATCTGGTTACTTTTTATGCTAGTATGGTAACATGTTATGCTGATTTTTTTACTTTTATGCTAATAACAGGGTATCCCGTGGCCAAAAAATTGCAGTTTTTCAAAAAATCATGTACTTTACTTTAATGTATTCTAGGCGTTTTAGGCCATATTTAGTCGATTCAGCCATCAAATTTTGGGTGTCAAATTTTTGGGAAAATACCTTGAAATTTTAGCACCCCATGTCCACTTAAAAAAAGATAATTGATCTTGTAGTTGTTATGCATCAACGAACTCTGGTGTGTTTTTTTATCAATAAAATCCAATCCAGAAAAAATATTTTTTTTTAGATGGTGCCAGAATATGGCTGTCAGCTTGAATTTTCTGATTGGTCGAAATTAATAGTCCGTCTGATTTTGATGGAAATTGGCATGTAGGGTGAGTCTGATGTCCTGAACACAAATCTGAGGTCATTTATTTAAAGAAAAAAATTGCCGCCGAATCAATGATTTTTATTGGTCAAAATTTAGATATGGTCCGATTTCGATGAAAGTTTTTTTTCCATGTGTTGTTTGGCATCGGAAACATGGTACAAGTATCCATTTTTCGATTTGACGAAAAATGCGTCGACGGAGCC